CTCTATAACACTCTACTCTAAGACACTTAACTCTACTCTACTCTACTCTTCTCTGCGACACTCTACTCTACTCGACGACACTCTACGACACTCTGCTCTACTCTACAACTTTTCTCTACGACACTTTACTTTACTCTATTGAATGAGACTCTATTGTACTTTAAGACACTCTAGGACACTCTACTCTACTATATGACACTGTACTCTACGACACTCGACAACACTCTATTCTACGACACTCTACGACACTCTACGACAATCTACTTTACTGTATGATACTCTACTCTATTGTACTCTACTGTACTCTACTCTACTCTACTCTACTCTACTCTACTCTACTCTACTCTACTCTACTCTATTGTACGACACTCTACTCTATGACACTCTACTTTACGTTACTCTACTCTACTCTACGACAATCTATTGTACGATACTCTACTCTTCAGAACGACACTTTATTGTCCTCTACGACACTTTACTGTAATATAGTCGACGACACTCTACTCTACTCTATGACACTCTACGACACTCTACGGTACTCTTCGATACTGTAAGACACTCTACAAAACTCTACTCTACTGTACTCTACTATACTCTACTGTACTTTACAACACTGTACTCTACTCTACTCCACGACACTCTACTGTACTCTACGACACTTACGACACTCTGCTGTACTATACTCTACTCAACGACACTCTTCTCTACTCTACTCTTCTCTACTTTACCACACTCGAGTCTACTCTAGTCTTCGACATTCTACACACTGTACTCTATTCTATGACACTCAATGACACTTTACACTATGACACTCTACCCTACTCCACTCTACTATACGACACTCTACTCTACTTTACTCTAAAACAGATTACTCTACTCTACGACACTCTACAACACTCTACTCTACTCTGCGACACTCTGCTTTACCCCACTCTATGACACTCTACTTTACTCTACTCTACTCTATTTTACTTTACTCTACTCTGAGACACTCTACTCTACTCTACTCTACTCTACTCTATTGTACAACAATCTACTCTATGATAGTCTACTCTACACTATGATATTTTACTCTCCTCTACGACACTCTATTGTAATTTACTCGAAGACACTCTATGACGTTTTACTCTACTCTATTATACTTTACTCTACTATACTCTACTCTACTCTACTCTACTCTACTTTACTCTACTCTACTCCACAACAATCTAATATATGGCAATCTACTCTACGATACTCTATTCTACGACTCTCTACTCTCCTCTACGATACTCTAATGTACTCTACTCTACGACACTCTATAACACTTTACTCTACTTCACTCTAATATACTCTACTCTACTCTACTCTACGATACGATACTCGACGACACTCTACGACACTCCACTCTACTCTACGACACACTACTTTATTCTACGACACTCTACTTTATTATAGAGGCATGTCCCTCACATCATAGAGAACTCACGAAAAACATTTCAGGAAAAAAAACGTATTTTTAGGCCTCGAAATTAGTTTTGGCGGGGGTCGAACGCTTTCGGGTTCAACCCTAAACGCCCGTACGTACGGAGGTCGGCCCAAGGACCTCCGTACATACGGGCTGGTGACCCTATATATTTTGCGATTTTTTTTTTTTTTTTGGCTTAGCAGAATAACTTCAAAATATAGATCTATGCAAACGCATACATCATAGCTGATCGTACAAGTACATCAACCAAACAGAATCACACGCGTAAGACACGCACGTAACACACACTTCGGAAGTGCAATAGAAAAATCGGTTAACATTCAATCATTCCACAACCCCATGAACCACCAAAGCGATCCACGTACCCACGGTCAATCCCGACAAAAGTCGTGAAGGACCGTCAACTGAAAGAGGTCTACTGCACTAACATCGAATGCTTAAGTACTACGTGCTAACTCTGAGGTACTGTCGAACTTACCAGAGAAACAGTCGACAAGTAGCTAGTACTAAGCAAAACAAAGGTAGGAACACAAGGCCCACTCCAAACGTTTCCGACCGAGCCAAAATCAAACCCACACAAAACGACCAGGCTCAAGGGGCAGTACAAGTAAACAAAAGGGAACCCGTCCTCAAGGAGTATCAGGGATCGCTAAAGTGGGCCTATGGATCGAAACCCGGATAGAGAACGAGAAATCGCTAAACACAGTCCTACGGATCGAAACCCAAAAAAACTTACTACTTCGGGATAAAAACAGAGAACAAAAAAAGAACCTCAACTGGCCAAATCAACTGCTAACTTCCAATACGCGTCACGCCCGTGAGCGAAGCGTTTCAATATGCGCAGAAAGAAATCATGCGGGAAATCCTTCAACCTTGCTTCCCTTTTAAGCGAAATCACCCTTCGAGGGATCTCATGTCGCGCCGATGTGTTCCGGTCAATGCGGTGCAGGTAACTTGCTAAAACAACACTCTTTTGGGTCTTACTGCCTCACGAATTGAAAGATTGCCCATTGAGAAAGGTTAAACGCTCTTCATTCCACAGAGAAGACTCATTTCTGGAGGTCTGTACGCATTCCACAAATGGATAGTAACGGTTGCACCTGACCATGCAACTCAAAAAATCCCAAGAACCAGTCCCATCATCTGTGCGCTTAAGAGAGAGATTCTCTGGATAACATCCCGAGAACGCCGAAAAAATTCCCTCAACATCTTGGGGCGATAAGCGTTTGCTCCCAATGAAGATGCTCACGTCATCAACGAGTCGGACACCAAACAGGAAGCGACGTTGGTTCCCCAAGCTTTGCAGGAACAAGTACTTGGAGCGTGCACACATGATGCAAGCAAGAGCGGGGGATGTACTTTTCCCCATAGGTATCCCGACCTTTTGCTGAAGGAGAACGGTCAAGGCGTAAGTGTTGGTGTGGGCAAGTTCAAACTCAACAAACTTTCGAATCTCAACAAATTCAATCCTCCTCCAGTGATCATAACCGGTTGTAATACCAAAACTCGCACCCTTACCCCTGGTGTTTACCCTGACAAACTTTCTGCCTTTGCTTGCGTGGAAATCCAGCAGCCAGTCCACAACATTCAGGATATCCTGGTGTGGCAAAAGACTAAACATGTCTTTAATATTGAAAGAACGAGCTACAACAGGGTCCGAACCCGTGCCGCGCAACTTCTTATTAATCCCTTCAAGCTTACCCCTCAGCATCGAAACAACCGCTTTACTAGTCTGTAAAGTGTATTCGGAATAAGATGGGCAGATAGGGCGAAACCGCTTTACGTCCTTGTGCTTTGGCATCGCGAATGTATGGCCAATAGAGCCTTTCCCTTGCCAACGTGCAAATTTCAAAATGCCTTCGGCCTTTAACGCCACTTTCATTTCAACAGCCAAAATTTCCTCAGTCTTTGTGACAGGTACATAACCAACATTCCGGATGAACAAATTCATCATTCCCTCATAATACAACAGGCGACACAAAACAAGAGTCTCCCCCGGATTCCTATCCAAGGGAGTAAGGACCAAGCCACTGAACCGTCTCCTCAGATCAATGACCTCCGACATGTCAAAAAAACAACCTGTCTGAACACCAACATTTGTCATACATTTGTTCAATTCAACTGCTGAGCAACACACAGTGAGCCCCTTCATGTTAGCCCACTTGGAGAAACTGTCGCTGATTTCCTGGCCCAATTTCAACGCCCTAAAACGATGATTAATTTTAGGTACGTTGTTAGCATTCGTCAGCATAGGTGATATGCCTTCCACATCACGCAGTCGAAAGCGCACGTGACCTCGTACCGGTGGGTACGGTAAGCCTGCACAGCTGCAGGGTAACACATCCTGACGGGCAAAAACCCGATGGTTGTGAATCAAGTCCGCAACACTGGGATTCCGTGTCCAGATGATGCGGAGTGATTTCCGTGCACGTCGAATCACGCAAGGTGAGAGAGTCAACTTTCCTAACTTGTCGTTTACTAACTTACGTACCTCCGCCAATTTGATGCGATCGTAAAAAACAAGGCGAAAAACAATACGAGCCGAAAGATTAAACCCAAATTCGTCCTTCACACATCTCCCAATCAGCCGTCTGAGGTATGCACACGTACTCTTGTGATGGAACTCCTTAACAGTGTTGAACAAGCTAGAAAGCGAGTCGAGGTCCTAGGATCGAAAACGCTCCAAACGTTTCGGGTTCCGTAACAGCGAGATAAGGAGAGGTTTGTTAATACCCTTCCGTGCTCGCCACCGTCTCAGGTACTGAAACTCAATACAGCCGTCAGTCTCAAAGGCTTTCTTAAACTCTTTCAGACAGCCCGTCTTGCCTCCGTACGTAACAAGGGAAGACCCGAAAGCTTTTCGCAAACCGTTCCACCGGTCACACCAAGTACAACCCCCTTCTATAAACAAAGTGAAAGAACGAATACTCTTATCATCCTGACTCCATAGGATCTGGAAGATACTTACGGACCAGACATCGTCAATACCCACGCGAGCACGTATTGGGAGTACGGGTCGATTACTATCTGCACTTGGTTCTCAGCTCGCCTCACCCGTTCCTTCTTCCCGAGGCGTCTATTACTGCTAGGAACCGGGCTTACACCAGCCGTGTTAAAAAACGGACTCCATTGACGTATAAACGCTTTCTCTACGGTAACCAGGTCAGTGGGTTCAACAACCTCCACGGGCGATAGACAGTAGGACTCCACTCCAAAACATCTCCACCATAGGTAAAGGTGGGTATTTTTAGCGTTACGCTTAAAGAAAGACAGGTGTTCTCTCCATCTAGTCACAGGAAGTCTAGACGTCTGTCCGACATACATAGACTTACATCGGGTAAATGTCACGACATAGACGCAGTTAGGTAGTGATAAGAACTCCAGTCCATACTTTAGATAGAGATTTAGCCACGAGTCAACACATTTCAAAAGCCAACGATACTGACCACGTAACGCGAATAGTAAGGTCAGAAGGCAAAAAACCAGATCAAGAGTCGCATCAGCTGCATACCGAAAAGAGATGATGACGTCAGACACAACAATCCATTGATTAGTGGTAAGCCCACTTCAAACCTGAGTCTCGTCTTCCGCCTCGTCCTGACTAGATCTCACTGCTTCCTCCTCCAAATTCAAGAAACTGTCGAAATCAGGGACCAAGTCGCCCAAACGCAACTGTGCTCGTTTGTCGGCGAGGTCAAAAATAGCTTGCACCTTCGTGGTGTAGCCTTCCTCACGGCAAAAGGAACGCAAGGTGTCGTAATCCATTTTTGATAACTCCCTACGAGTGTTGTCGAGAAAAATCATCCGCTCCATGGCGTTGTCCGTGGTCGGTTGCTTCATCATCGTAAATGCTTTAGACGCCAACCTTTTCGCTGGTCGTTGAACGGAGACCCTGCTCCTTGTTCGCTGCAGTCTCCCCGAGAGACGCACCGGGCGCACGTCCATGCGTTTTCTCGTTCGTTTAGTTGGCGTGGTAACAGGCGGGCTGTCGCCCACAGGTGTATCTTCACCACGTTTCCGCTTCTCTTGTATCACTAGCTTCGTCGTTCCCTCCGTGATAACGTCCACTTCGTTAGCTGATCCCGAAGTTGACGGAAGACTACCAATGAGTACTTCCTTCCCTTTCCCGGTGACAGTTACAGCGGCCTCCGGTTGACTTTTCAGCGCTGTACTTGTCAAGGCCTTCCGCACTTCGGTTTTTATCTCGTCTCGAATATCGCCGAGCCTCAATGAGAGCTGCACTTCAACAGCCTTTGCCATCGCAAGTTGTTCTTCCTCCCGTTTACGTAATTTCTCCGCCTTACGTGCAGCCCGCTCAGCCTCGGCTCTCCTTGCTTCCGCCTCAGCACGCCGAGCTTCCTCACGCTCCAGACGACGCTGCTCCTTCTCAGCTCGCCTCGCTCGCTCCATCTTAACGAACTCCTGTACGGAGGCGACCGTCTTACCAAGCTCATCAAGCTGATTGTGGGCGCCCTGGTCACCTCCACTTAGTGGTTGCTGAACCTGGCCGCGAGGTGGGGATACGGTCGCAGTCCTCCTACTGAATTCTACCGGACAGACGTAACCATCCGCTTCCATCCGGCGACGGGCCACGCGATTTGTCCAGTACCTCCAACATTCTGAGTGATAATGTCCCACCACTCTGCATCCGAAACACGTGGGAGGTCCACGCCGAGGAGGATCATCCCTCCTATCTTCGCGACTGTTGCTTCGTGATCCCATATATCGTTCGCGACTGCCTTCCCTATTACTTCGTCGGCCTCGCTCTGGTGACCGGGGCCACCGCCCTTCCCTACTACCATCCCGGTAGTGGTCGCCTACCATCTTCGGTCGCTGTACGTCAACGTTGCCTTCGTAATCTTGACGGTCTTCCCAACTCCGTAGTCGTCCAAGCCAGTCCCTAATCAGAAAACTTAGACTATGAACTGCATGCTCCCTCACTCCCAGTTAGAGGACTCCAGGAAGGTTCACATGTGCATCGGTAGGTCTATGCAAACGCATACATCATAGCTGATCGTACAAGTACTTCAACCAAACAGAATCACACGCGTAAGACACGCACGTAAGTTGTGACGTACCACACACTTCGGAAGCGCAATAGAAAAATCGGTTAACATTCAATCATTCCACAACCCCAGGAACCACCAAAGCGATCCACGTACCCACGATCAATCTCGGCAAAAGCCGTGAAGGACCGTCAACCGAAAGAGGTCTACTGCACTAACATCGAATGCTTAAGTACTACGTGCTGACTCTGAGGTATCGTCGAACTTACCAGAGAAACAGTCGACCAGTAGCTAGTACTAAGCAAAACAAAGGTAGGCACACAAGGCCCACTCCAAACGTTTCCGACCGAGCCAAAATCAAACCCACACAAAACGCCCGGGCTCAAGGGGCAGTACAAGTAAACAAAAGTGAACCCGTTCTCAAGGAGTACCAGGGATCGCTAAAGCGGGCCAATGGATCGAAACCCGGATAGAGAACGAGAAATCGCTAAACACAGTTCTACAGATCGAAACCCAAAAATACTTACTACTCGGGGTTAAAAATAGAGAACAAAAAAAAAACCAAAAAAATGAACCCTGTCACTACATAGAGGCATGTCCCTCACATCATAGAGAACTCACGAAAAACATTTCAAGAAAAAAAATGTATTTTTAGGCCTCAAAATTAGTTTTGGCGGGGGTCGAACGCTTTCGAGTTCGGACCCCAAACGCCCGTACGTACGGAGGTCGGCCCAAGGACCTCCGTACATACGGGCTGGGGACCCTATATAGAGGGTAACCGGCGTTCGAGACGGTCCGAACGCCCGAACCCGAACGCCCGAACGTATGGAACCCCTTGGGAATGCGTTCTGGCCGTTCGGGTCGAATGCGGATCCAAAAAAAAAAAAAAAAAAAAAAGTTTCATCAAAAAAATTGAAAAAAAGATATGTTATGGAAAAAAATAAATTAAACAAGATTTGCCTGAGCATTACGTCCGAATTCCTTACCAAATTGGAAATAAAAATAAAATACATAGAACAAATACTAATAATAAAAATAAATAAAAATAAAAAGAGAATTAAATTTAGTGAGTGCGCAAGCATGTTTTCGACACCGCCATCTTTGGCGATTTTTTTTTTTTTTTTTTGCATAGCTAAATGCCCTGAAAATTTACAGATGCGTACTTCACATAATAAACAACCCAATAAAAACGTTTCAAAAAATAATAAAATAGTTTAGACCCCGAACTAAAGTGAAAATAAAAAGTAAGAAGTGACAAAGTATGTGGGCGAGCACGTTTTGACACCGCCATCTTTGCCGATTTTTTATTCTTATTTGGCTCATCCAAAAGACTTGAAAATTTACAGACATGTACCTCACGTCATAGAGAACTCACAAATATATATATATATACATATATATATATATATATAGGGTTACCTGACCAAACGTTCGGGGGCCCCCGGGCTGGTCCCCGAACGTTCGGGCGTTCGGGGTCCCGTTTGGGGGCCGAACACCTCCAGGTTCGGCCCCCGCCAAAATATATTTCAGGGCCTGAAGCTAAGTTTTTTTTTCTGATTTTTTTTTTTGTGAGTTCTCTATAATGTAACCTACACGCCTACAAATTTGAAGCCATTCTGCTGAGCCAAAAAAACATTAAAAATCGTGAAAGATGGGGGTGTCAAAATGTGCTCACCCACTGACTATTTTGTTTTCTTTTAACTTTTAACTTTTTGTTTTCACTTTATTTTGGCCCCTAATAACATTTATGATTTTTTAAAAATATTTTAATGAGTTATTTATTATGTAAACTACATATCTGTAAATTTTCAGGGCATTTGTCAATGCCAAAAAATAATTAAAAATCGGCAAAGATGGCGGTGTCGAAAAGGTGTTGGCACACTCACTCATTTTAAATCTTTTTTTTATTTTTCTTATTTTTATCATAGTGTTTATTTTCTGTATTCGATTTTTAATTCAAATTTGGTAAAGAATTTGTATGTAGTGCCCAGGCAAATGTTGTGTAGTTTATTTTCCTCCATAACATATATTGTTTTGGAATTTCTTGACAACTTTTTTTTTTTTTTTTTTTTTTTTTTTTGTCCGCGTTCGGTCCGAACGGCCGAACGCCTTCCGAAGGGGTCCCGTACGTTCGGGCGTTCGGGTTCGGGCGTTCGGCCCGTCCCGAACACCGGCAACCCTGTATCTATATATATATGTAGACGATATATATATATATTCTTCTCTCTCTCTGCCTACGTTTTTACCGGGCAGTTCTGTTTGTGACGATATATATACATATATATATATATATATATATATATATATATATATATATATATATATATATATATATATATATATATATATATATATATGGTCACCAGCCCGTACGTACAGGCGTTCGAGGTCTCGTACGGGGGTCCGAACCCGACGGTGTTTGGCCCCCGCCAAAAAACATTTCGGGGCCCAAAAATAATTATTTTTCTCTGCAGTTTTGTTTGTCAGTTCTCTATGATGTGACATACATGCCTGTAAAGTTTCAAGTCATTTGGCCAATCCAAATAAGAATTAAAAATCGCCAAAGATGGCGGTGTCAAAACGTGCTCGCCCACATATTTTTTTTTCCTTTTTACTTTTTGTTTTCACTTTAGTTCGGGGTTTAAACAATTTTATTATTTTTTGAAACTTTTTTAGTGGGTTTTGTGTTAAGTGAAGTACACATCTGTAAGTTTTCAGCGCATTTTGCTATGCCCAAAAAAAATAAAAAATCGCCAAAGATGGCGGTGTCGAAAACATGCTTGCGCACTCACTGAATTTAATTCTCTTTTTATTTTTATTTATTTTTATTCTTAGTATTTATTTTATGTATTTTATTTTTATTTCAAATTTGGTAAGGAATTCGGATGTAATGCTCAGGCAAATCTTGTCTGATTTAGTTTTTTCCATAACATATCTGTTTTTCAAATAATTTTGATGACTTTTTTTTTTTTTTTTTTTTGGGTCCACGTTCGGCCCGAACGGCCGAATGCATCCCCAAGGGGTCCCATACGTTCGGGCGTTCGGCCCGTCCCGAATGCCGGTTACCCTATATATTTGACGATATATATACAGGGTTACCAGCCCGTACGTACGGAGACCCCTGGGCGGACCTCCGTACGTTCGGGCGTTCGGGGTCCCGTACGGGGTCCGAACCCAACGGCGTTTGGCCCCCGCCAAAACTTATTTTGGGGCCTAAAGATATATATTTTTTTCTGAATGTTTTTTTATGAGTTCTCCATGACGTGAAGTACATGTCTATAAATTTTCAAGTCATTTGGCTTAGCCAAATAAGAATTAAAAATATCCAAAGATGGAGGTGTCAAAACGTGCTCGCCCACGTTTGTTTTCACTTTTTACTTTTTGTTTTCACTTTAGTTCGGGTTCTAAGCAATTTTTTTATTTTCCGAAACTTTTTTCGTGGGTTTTGTATTATGTGAAGTACACATCTGTAAATTTTTAGGGCATTTAGCTATGCCAAAAAAAACTGAAAAATCGCCAAAGATGGCGGTGTCGAAAACATGCTTGCGCATTCACTAAATTTAATTCTCTTTTTATTTTTTTTATTTTTTTTATTAGTATTTGTTCTGTGTATTTTACTTTTATTTCAAATTTGGTAAGGAATTCGGACGTAATGCTAAGGCAAATCTTGTTTAATTTATTTTTCTCCATAACATATTTGTTTTTCAGATTTTTTTGATGACTTTTTTTTTTTTTTTTTTTTTTTTTTTTTTTTTTTTTTTTTTTTTTTTTTTTTTTTTTTTTTTTTTTTTTTTTTTTTTTTTTCAAGGTCTTCGTTCGGCCCGAACGGCCGAACGGCTGAACGCATCCCCAAGGGGTCCCATACGTTCGGGCGTTCGGGTTCGGGCATTCGGCCCGTCCCGAATGCCGGTTACCCTGTTTTTATTTAACGATATATATATATATATATATATATATATTCAAAATATTTCGAAAAAAACATATGTTATGGAGAAAAATAAACTAAACAACATTTGTCCGGGCACTACATCCAAATTCCTTACCAAATTTGAATTAAAAATCAAATACAGGAAATAAACGCTATGATAAAAATAAGAAAAAATAAAAAGAGAATTAAAATGAGTGAGTGTGTCAACACCTTTTCGACACCGCCATCTTTGCCGATTTTTATTTTTTTTTGGCATTGACAAATGCCCTGAAAATTTACAGATAAGTAGTTCACATAATCAATAACTCATTAATTGTTTTTCAAAAAATAATAAAAGTTTTGAGGCCCCGAAATAAAGTGAAAACAAAAAGTTAAAAGTGGAAAAAAACAAAATAGTGAGTGGCGAGCACGTTTTGACACCCCCATCTTTGATGATTTTTAATGTTTTTTTGGCTTAGCAGAATGGTTTCAAACTTTATAGGCCTGTAGGTTACATCATAGAAAACTTACAAAAAACAATTCAAAAACAAATACTTATTTTTAGTCCCCGAAAGTGTTTTTGGCGGGAGCCTAACCTGGAGGTGTTTGGCCCCCGAACGGGACCCCGAACGCACGAACGTTCGGGGGCCAGCCCGATCGTTTTATTTATTTTTCTTCAAAAAACAAAACAAAACGATATGTTATGAAGAAAAATAAATAAAACAAAATTCGCTTGAGCATTACATCCAAATTCCTTACCAAATTTGAAATAAAAATAAAATACGAAAAACAAATACCAATAATAAAAATAATAAAAAATAAAAAAGAATTAAATTTAGCGAGTGCACGAGCACGTTTTCGACACCACCATCTTTCGCGATTTTTCTTTTTTTTTTGGCATAGACAAATGCCATGAAAGTTTACAAATGTGTACTTCACGTAATGCGAAACCCACTAAAA